AAGGGAACATGAATCAAATATTTATCTTTATTCATTTACAATAAACTCATAAAGTACATCATTCTGATTGAAGCTAAGGGCATACAAAACTGTCTAACATCAAAGACATGACAACTGCCCTCACAATTCAAACTGAGCAAGATATGGTTAATATATTGTATCGAGAAGTTATGGACTTACACTCAGAGGGGTTCGATATTCAAGTCATAAGTGTGGTATTTGAATACCTAGTGGAAAATGAGAAGGAAGCAATGATGTTCATTGCTAGGGAAAAGATCTTATGGGCCCAGATGGTATACACAATCTTAACAAAGTTGCTTGGATTTAGAAGGATGCCTTAGCCTCTTATGAATAGACTTGGTAGATAGACCACCACAACACAACTTCTTTTGTTTGAGCAATTATCAGTATAAGGATTTGTTTCTGCTGTACTCTTTCCATAGGTAAGTCCTGAATGGTGTATCTTTCTACCAATTGCAAGGTCTCTTTGGGATTTGGATGTTTGTTTTCATGAATCACTTTGTTCCAAGAGTCCCAAAACAGCCTTATTGCAATACTGCATCATGACATCCTCCTCATGTTTGGACCAACCTTTCAATTTGTCATTCATCAACTACTTCATGGATGAGTTTTTGACTCACATCATTAGTGTTGATGCCTATCTGCAACCCCGTCCATAGAGCTCTTGCGAAATGGCGCTGAAATAGGAAAAGTAACTGTAGGCTCTCTGTGGTATATGGTCAGTTGAATTCATATGTACCCTGCCCTGGTTTGTCCCTTCCCTTGAATCTCCATTAATGTGCACTGTGTAATACCAAAAACATAAAAACAGAAGCCAAAAGAATTTTACTTGGGTTAAAACAAACAACCTAGAAACAATTATTATACTCATAATTTGTTTTAGTTGTTTTTAAGTTCTAGGTACACTACCTCAAATAAGTGCTTCACATACTTGCTCAACAGTTGCATTCAAAGCCTTTGAAAGTATGGTGAAGTTCTGCAATCTCTTAGGTTCAATAACATGTTTGCTGGGTGATGGGCCCTTGCTTTTAGCATCATCAGTCTTGATTTGGTGCAGGACTAGGAGAAGAGGGTTTGTTGTTAGATGGGCTTTGGTTTGATCCTGAAGATGAATTTGAATTCTGAGGTGATGATGCATTTGGCTTTGTACAAGAACTTGACAATGTAGGTCTGGCTCTTGTTGTATCAGATGATTGAGAAGGACGAAAATTAAAATGAAAAAAATGTTATTTGGAAGAGGTGGTGGTGGCGGTGGAGGAGGGGGAGGGAGAGGCACATCTTGTCGACAATTCAAAGAATGAGGGGATATTAATGTGCTTTGTTTTATATAATTTGAATAATTTGGAGAAGAGTATAAATTTGAATGTGTAGGTGGTTCTGGACCTGGAGTAATTGCAGGAGATGGTGACTTCACTGAATGGGGCAGAGTAGGTTCTCTTAAATCATGACAGGGTGAAGATCTATTTGAGAAGCTTTGCAGAGAACCAACATGGATCACTCAGACTACCATCTGAAGCATTGGAAAGCCTCACATTTGACGAATGTGAGTCACATAAGGAGTGAAATGATTCATTATCAGAGAAGAGGGGTTCAGGGTGGGCACTTTCATTGGCAGATGAACAATTGCCACTGTCAATTGGTTCTACACGCGCATGTACAAAAACAAATTCTTCAGCAGAAGAACAACTCAAACTGTCAGATTCTGCTTTTATTGATTCTCTTCTGCATGATTCATCTACTTTGACCAATGAAGACTTTGATGATTCTTGGTTGGTTGAAATGGCCACAGTTTCACAAGTGTGTTTTACACAAGAAGCTTCCAGCTCTGAAACTGGTGTTTATGAATTTAAATAGAAAAGATCTGGGCCGGGGTCAAAACTAACCTTAAATAATGAATTTGGGGAACTCTCAAACTTTGATCTCCGTCTGGATCCACCTTTTGTACTATATCTACTTGTGCTTGTTGATCTCCCTGGTAGACATCTTTTGAACCTCCAAATGGCGAAGATGAGCCCTAAAGCAACAACAATGATTTATTTTACTTTTTGTTCTTTCAGTTTCCGGACTTCCATTCTTCTGTCTGTCCACCTTTTACTGCATCCCCATTATTCCTCTCATATGTTTGGTTATCTTGCATTCTATGAATAATATCAGTTAATACTGTTATGTTATGTTAGCTGAGTTGATTTGTTTTAATAAGACACAGTGCATATGGTCAAAGATTATGCTACAAGTACTAGCAGAGGTTGATATGAGAACCCAACATTTCTTGGTTTCAAGTTTCAATCAAACTAGTTAGATTCATCTAAAGCCATATATTGGGGGAAGTGAAAGAACAATGAAAAGAATGATTCCATTGGGTCCAGGCTAGGTTCCATATTGCTTGCAGATATGAACCCACATTCATTAACAGAACAGCTAGTTTTCAAATTTCTAATACAATATACTCCAAAAGATATAGCAGGTCAGCAGCTTCTTTCTCATGCTCGGCTGCATGCACTTTTTTGAAGAAGGCCCATGCACAGTGAATGCCAGTGAGGCCATGAATCATAGAAAACAAAAGGCTTACCAACCCCTTAGACCCCTTGTACTGTAATTTACTCAATAGAGAAAGGAACATACATTACAGGGGATTCTAGGGTGGATGGGGACGAAACAAGGTGTATTTGAGGCCCATTGGCAGTCCCATACCATACATTACTCAATAGAGAAGACCCAGATTGAGGTCGTTAGTGCTGGATTTCGAGCATTTCAATTGGGCCTGGAAGCATGGCGTGTGAACACCAAATACCATCACCTTGATCCCCCCAAACACGACCAGTGTAAATGGGGCCAACAACCGGTTACCATTTTACACTCTCATCAAACCGGTTCCCATTTTACATTCAGTGTAAATTTGCTTTTACACCCCAAACAAACATAGCCTAGGAAACAAACTCGGATGCAGTCCTCAAAAAACAGATCTCACACCGTCCTCACAGCCACTTGTAATCTTGTATTGGGAATATCTTTATACTCGCATGTTTTTCTTCATGCCAATGCAAGACTGCGAGTGGATGTAAGGTGTGAACACCATTATGTGAAGACTGAATCCGATCTCATCAGGAACATCTCCCAATGAAAACACATGATGTTCCCGGTGTGTGGTTGGATGCCATGCTGTCAATGTGTTAATATGCTTTTTGCTAGTAGCAGGTTCTGTCTGCCATTTCATTATTCTAACTGCTTGCCTGCAAAAAGGAAGGCATGACTTTGTCAATGATCCGGTAATACTAATCTGGCTAGCTGATTTGTTTGAACAGGTCAGTGGGTCTATGGGACTGTTCAAAGTTTTACAACCAAATTAGACTGTGCTTCACTCATTGTTGTACAATCATAGTTTCAGTCTCTTTATCCACACAGCTTAACAATGTGAAACCATATAAAATAACATATGAACAGAGAGCTATACATTTTGTACCAAATTATTTCAAGTTCACAATGTGATTCAACTCTTTCATTCTTGTTTCTTCACTACAAGAACAGGACACTTGGCATGATGAACACAATAGTTGCTCACGCTCCCTAGGAAAGCCCTGTTTCAACAAATTTGCTATGGATTTAGTAACGAAATTATCAAATGGGGAGACAATTCAAATTTTGGGGCATTGGCATCTCATATAATGTCTCTCTTGAACAGGTTTTCTTTTTCTTTGATGAAAGTATCATGAACACATTTTCTGTTCTCAAAATGTCACATGGAAACAAGTATAATACTTCAGTTGCCGCCAACATTGGCCTTTGTAGAGAATATGGATTAGCTGAATTTGATAGTTATTCTACTGGTTGTGGGACCAATCATTTTGTTCCATGTCAACCATAAATGCAAGTGAGAGATTGAGTGGTTGTGGGTCACATGTCCTTTATGGCTGGCGTGGAGAAAAATGATTGGTCCCACAACCACTAAAACAGCTATCAAGTTCAGCAAATATAATCTCGTTTTCATGACAAGCAAATTAGGTGTCATATCCATGAATCATTTGGTCTCTCTGTATAACAGATAACAGAGATAAAATAACTCAAATATGAGACATAATTTTGAAAACTGTTTAGTGTAAAAAAACTAGAAGCTCAAATATTTTTACACCTTTTTTTATCTACGAATTTCTGAACTTCAAGCTATAGTTCCTCTTGCATGTTCCTTATTGTCAAATTCAGCATTTCCAGAACTGAGGATCCACTGAATAGTAAGGGCCATCTGGGGTTTTGACTTTTGAGAGGGATTGACTGGATATGGGCCTACCCCTTGGCATCTTTTGCACAAAACAGAAACTAACAGACTCGAACCAACATTCTCACACTTGTCAGACTGAGAATTTATTACTGAACCAAGCAATGGCCCTAGAGGATCTGCTTGAGAGCAAGAATTCTTAAGAAAAGTGGCCTTAACAAATAAAAACAGGGGCATGCTGAAATAACTATAAAGTTGATTCCCTTTCCTCCACTTTCCTGGTTGTTCTGTTGAAGACATCAGCGCGTTTTTCTACAATCTCTTAATGTGTACTGTAAATTTCTGCATTCTGTATGAATCTTAAAAAGGTTTATTTTTTGAAAGGTGAATTCCATACTTTCTTCTCAAGACCTATGGCAATCTTGCACTTGTATGTGGTGTTAAAGGGGAGTGTTAACCATCTTCTCTATCAAGTTTCTCTCTTCTTTATGCTGTGTTTCTTTCTTAGTTCCTTTCCCTTGTGCTCATTTTCTTTGAGCTATAAAACACTAAGGTGAACAAACTGATGAAACAAAACAGAGCATTCATATTACAGTTGCATACATGTGCTTCTGTTTATTAGCTCAAATATCAGTATGCATAGTCTTGGGAATTGTGTTTGGGAACCATGCCCACCTTCCAATCATGTATACCAAATTACCAACCCTTGCTTTCCTAACCCTCCAAAAGAAAATACTAAACCATATGCAATCATAGAAGTAGAATTTTGTCAAGAACACTTTGTAGAGGGGCCAATGATATTTTTTGTAATTTCCTCCCCTTCACAATGATATGATTTTTAAAATTCTTGCTAATCCAAACCAAGTACCAAAGCTGCAACAACAATATTCATATACTAAAATGCAACAATGAAAGAAACAGATTTTTGTTTGCAAACCTTTTTCCTTCACCATATGCAACATGGATGTTTATAAAAAGGCATTTCAGTGGCATGCAAATGGATATTACAGAAGAGGAAAGCACAAGGGAGATGATACAGGTATACAACAACTTCAGGGACACAAAGAGAACCCAAGAATTTAGAATGAAATGAAATTGATAAATGTAATCATTACTTGGAAAGAATGTGTGCATGAATACCACCACATCGTTGAATAGAGTAATAATTCAAGACAAAAGCAACTACCTTTGGAGGACTCCTCGACTACGGCAACCTAAAATAAGTAGATTGATCTTGAACTTTTCAACTGCATTACAAATGGCCTCTTTGGGATCTCCAATTTCTGTAATTGTCTCTGCAGTTACCTGTAATAAGATAAATCATAATCATACCCTTAATCATGCATGTCATGTGTGCATCATGTAGATATAAATTTTATGCACTAATTTAGTTCCAGAAGGGAATCCAAAATCTGTATTTATTTGGTGAACCGAATAATAAGAGCTCTGACTTCTTTACTTGCTTCTTTTAACCCATGCGAATATGTGCATATCTATATACAAACTACCATAAAACATTGACCACACACTGATATTGGATGCCAAGAAGAAAAACATAATCTATATATAGCTAGTGAAATAAATAAGGAGAAACAACGATGATAATTTCTTTTGGAGTACCATTAGATTATGTTTTCTTAAATTACATTTTGTTGATTAACTTTTTCATATAACTATAGTTTTAGCCTTAGATTTTGACTTTTCCCCAATCAGTAGTTACCAAACTGTAATAAGAGATCTTAGATTAACATCAGTAAAAGAAAGAGCAATAATTAATTTTTGAAGTTATGGAGTAGTAAACATTTGTTTTATCTGTTCCAGGCTTCTACAAATAACTCTGACACGTATATTTGCAATATCACCAGCCATTTTTTAAATGGAGATATTTTAGAGAGAAAGAGAGAGACTAAGGTTATTATAATACCAGATAAATCAATCTAAAACTGATTCATATGGTTTAGGAGTTTCCATCTAACAAACGTCAGGTGTTTAAGGTGATAAATATAAGAAACCTATAATATTTCAAAGATTCTATGACAAATCTAAACAAATATAACAAGCCTATCATTTTAATGCACTCATATATTTAAAGTAATAAAAAATCACTCAATATCCTAAGGGAGCCATAATTTTAAATATCCATCTTCATTTGACTATGACAACCCACTAAAACTTTCTACAAAATCCCACAATTTTCAAGTATTCTCATCTTTACAACTATTTTTAATTTTAATTATTCTTTTGACTGTAAAGCTTGCACTGAGCCAGAAATTTCACCAGAAGAGACTCAGGTTACCGCCTTAGATTTACTGGTGTAAAGAACAAATCGAAATGAATCAAGTGAGTATACCCCTTGGTTAGCGCAGATGTCTTTAGCTTTTTCCAAGAGAGACAAGGACACCTTCTTTTGATGTTCCTGAATGGCTTTAGTCAGCTGCGGATCTATATCACAGAAAAATTTCCATTAGTGAATAGCATGTCTCATATCTCGATTATGAGAAAAACCAGTTTTAACATTCCCAGGACTTTATCAAGATGTGTACTTCTATGGCAAAAACAGAATCAAAATCCATTCAACCCCCCCAAAGAAGAGAAGAAGAAGAGCAATACAAAACAACTAGAGAGAAGCCAAATCTAGACATTTCCTCATATTTCCTCTCCAAAGCCTATAACCTCTGTTACTATGCCAATTAAGTTGCAGCAAACAATTATTTAAAAATTTTATACCGAAAGAATTCCCGAACCATTTTTCATGGAAACAGATGTGGAAAAAGAAACACCAATAAACCATTGACAGTTAATTTACTTAGAATCCAGAGATCCTCCCTCAAGGAAGTAAAAGCCAGAAATAAGGACGAGAAAAATGAAAGCAACGCTGCAGGACTGTGAATGAACCAAAGAGGACGGTACATACGAGCAGAACCGAGAGATGCAGCATAGATGTAACCATAATCAGCCATGGGCTGAGCTGTGAAGATCACGAGAGACGACGTGGTGAGACGATCCTGAAGATTGTCGAGTGCCCACCTGAGCGCATAGAGGCTACACTCGTTTTCATCAATGGCGATCATCACCTTCTTCCCATTCTCCATGCCCTCTTGCGCCATGTTAGAGCTGTGGTTTCTCACACCAAACTTCGATTTTATATTCTCTTCGGAATTAAACGTGGCGGAAGCGCCGGTACTTATAGCCTGAGGGCGCTGCCTACGACTTTTCTTCTCCGAAAAGGGTTTTCAAAACAATTGGCGGGTTTTCGATTTGTCAACTGGGTAGTGGTGAAATCCGCTACGCCCAATGACGTAGCTTGGCATAAACATTAAATCACGGCCTTTGGATGTATTGATGTGGCCTATTTTGTGGCCCACATCAATACATCATCGTTCACGGCTTTAGCACAAGGCTACGCCAACAGGAGTAGCAGATATTTCTCTTATCCATCGTTGGCTCCTCGTACACGCTTCCACGCTACCGAAGACTGGAATGGAGAGTGGACCGCTGGGTGTGAGCTAAAATATCCAATTTCACAATCACAAGCGACTGTATAAGGTGCTTCAGTAACCAGATCGAATTAATAGGATTAATTGATCAGAACCGTCTGATACAATCTGTGACATGCAACAATTACCCTTGTGTTTTGGTTGCAATGCAAATAAATTTGTACTGATGCAGTGCAAACGATTTGAGTGTAAATTCTGACCTGTTTTTGTTTCAAATTTTAGTTTATTGTATTTGATTGCAATACGAATGAAGTGAATTAAGACATGAAGGAGAATAAAATAAACCCCAAAACAAAATTAAATGAGAATTTTCATTTTTTTTCATTTGCACTTTCATGCATTTGTGCTAGTGCAAATAAAATTACACTACAACCAAACACAGTCCTAGCTTAGTTTGGAAGGAGAACAAATGCAAATATGTACAATACAAATATATACAACATAGTTTTGTACTCTATGTATTCCTTTCCAACTGAGCCTTATAGGCAATTATTTTTCTCTTAAGCTAAGCATGGAAGGAGTACAAATACAAATATGTAGAGCATGTGCCAAACCTTGTATTTTTTTATGTATTTTCACTGTACATATTTGTATTTGTGCTCTTTCCAAATTAAGCCTTAATCTTATTTTGAAAGGAATACAAATACAAATATATACAGTGCAAAACCTTATATTTTGTATTACTTTGTATGAATATGAATTGTAGATATTTATATTTATATTCTTTGCAAAGGAATACAAAATACAAATATATAGAATGCAAAATCTTGTATTTTGTATTTATACACTTTCCAAACTGAGCCTTACCACATGAAAACATAAGGTAGAGCAAAATCTTTGCAAATTTTTACCTTCATTCAAAAGTCTTCTGTTTTTGGACTCCTCCATACTCAAGTTGGGTAAAGGTTAACACAAAATCACAATGGATCCATGCAGGTTTCCTTTTACTCTAATAAAGCTTCCTTTGAAGTTTCGAGTCATTATCAGGGATTTTAATAAGAGTAGGTGCATTGCTAGTTTGTGTGGCTCTCTTTTTGCTCAATCGCCTCTTCAAATGGAGCTCTTTGAGCTGGTAGATCCTAGATGGCTAAATGTTACTTAGGCCTCGTTTGTTTACCACAAAAATTTTATGGAGGTAATAAGTTGGTCAACCAAGTAAATGATTAATTTTCTCATGTTCGGGTGCCGTTATAATGTGTCCCATGGAAAGATTATTTTACTGAGAATATTAGTTTGTCGATTAATTGATACTCTCATGGCTTATTCATTTCATGTTAAGATCTCCCACCAAAGTCTTTACTTGAGTAAGTCTCGGGGCGACCAAACACGAGCAGCACAATTTTATTGAGTAACTCTTGTCCAAGAATCATTTGTCTGCCAAATTGTGTCGAACTAAAATATTCTTGCCATAATAAAAAGGGGCAAATTTTTTTGGGAAAATGCCCACACCAATTCATTCAATGAACAAAGTTGATTATAAGACCTTAATTGGAACAAAAGTAACTGAGAAGTGAGAAGGAATCGGGGTGATGCGACAAAATACACCTGCAACTAGAAATGATCTAAGATTAATGCTACAAGGTGGGTGAGAACTGAGAAGAATCCCCCAACAAGAGTTTTACCATAATTTCTGCATCACCTTCAAACGTAGCAATGGAGAGACCAAGAGAAGTTGAAAATGGATAGCTTCAGACAAGCTAAGGGCTTCTGTCACCAAGGCAGGGAGAGGAAGTGGTGCCATCAAAAAAATGAATTTTAATGAAGCCTGTAAGAGGTCTCGTCCAGTGTGTAGGCAAAGCATAAACTGAAGGGACAAGAGGTAGTGATGTAGAGATAATACAATCAACTCGGACACCAAGCAAATCGATTATGTCTGAGTCTGAGCTAATCATGTAAAGGTAAGCAGACTCAAATTGATCAAAAAACATATGTAATATAATTAATGGAGAGATTCTTTCCTCCGATGGAGTCTAAACCTCAACAAGCGAGTCTTTCTGTAACTGAGGATGAAAAAAGTCCAATCTCCATTCAGCAGATAAAATGACACAGTTCCTAAACAAGAGGTTGAAGATAGATATATGAAAATATTGATTAAGATGAAGTGCTTAGATAGATATACTTGAATCAGGATGCATGTCAAACCATGTCAACTGCTGAATTGAAGTAGTTTCCTGCATCTCGTGGTTCTGATGTAATCAAGTAAGAAAGAAAGGACATGATTGAGTTTCAGCAATAAGAACAAAGAGGAAGGGTAACTTCTCTTTAAGAATTTACGTTCGACTTACCCTTCTTATTTTGGTAATCAATGCTTCAACAATCTTTGCATTTGTTTCTCTGAAAGTAACTGCGATGGCAATATAAGCAAACAAAACAAAAAATGGAAACCCGTATCAGTGAAACCCGAGTAGAAATAAAAAAAATGTTGGCAAAGGATAAGGATAACGTGACCCTCGAAGATAGACGGAAAAATTTTGCCCATGGATTGTCGTAGCTTACAAACAAACACCCCGATATGAAAGTAACCCAGAAGATTCCGTTTAGAATGATTGAAACTACGATCAATGTGGCTGCGAATTTGTTTTCTGTAGGGTTGATCAAGGAGGATTTCTCGATATTGACATGCGCAAAAGTAACTATGCCCCCCATCGCAGCTACAAAATCATCAACCTTCCAAGAAAATTCAGAGTTGGTGGGGTTCTGGGTAGTGGTTGGTCCTTGGTCAGGTGCAGGTGCAAGTGCAGGAGTGACAGGAATAGAAGATGATGAGTGTGAATACTATCTCGGACTAATGGATGCACCCCGAGGTAATTAAGAATGAAGAATCACTCTGAGATAAGGTGTCAGGTTCATCGGCTTGGGGCTGTAGTTGCGGACCTTGGTGAGATTGATTTGTGGGAAATGAAGAGAATAGTGGTGTTATTTTGAATTCGGCTTGCTGGGATTCTTGGACATCCGGAGGAGGGCGATCTTTCCTTCTCGGTGACGTAGGAAACCGATCCATCTGTCTACTGTCGGACTTTTTTTATTTCATGGGACGGACGGTAGATGATTGCTGGTCAGATGGAGTCGTAGGAAAGGAAGAAGACAGTAGGCCGTTTGCATCCGACTCGTTCTGGGGGTTTTTAGCTTCGGACTGATCATGGATTTGTCGTGGAAGCGGGCTACTCTTTTTCATTGTTGCCGCTATTATGTGCCCCGATGCCGAACATATTGTTTTAAGTGCTTTCTGAACCGCTGTGAAGACCTCCATCTTCCTCCCTCCCGATTATCGAGTCTGGGAAATTTGCACAGGAATCAACAGTACAAAATGAGAGAGAAGGGAGACGGACGGGATGAGGGGTCAGGAAGGAAGCATTATCATTATCATTATTATTATTATTATTATTATTATTATTATTATTATTATTATCATCATTACTACTACTACTAAGGCCTTGTTTGAGAACACTTAAAAGAAGTACTTCTTTTACTACTTCTTTCAAGAAGTACTTCTTTTAAGACATGAGACCACACATTAAGTAGTTTTTAAGTACTTATGGGTGTTTGATATAAAGGTGGGGAAAAAAGTAGCTTCAAGTTGGTTTTTTTTTTTTTAAGTACTTCTTGAAAAAGTACTTTTTCAAAAAAAAAAAGACGAATCAATCCTTAATAATTTTTTATAATACCTAAAACACCCTTGCACCCAAAAAACACTGTTCACCATCTTCTTCCCCTCGAATCCACTTCATGCTCAGTCCCTCTTCGCCCAATCCTTTTCCTGCTTCCCTCCCAGAATCCACTTTACACCCTTACGTTGCTCTACTCACTCTCTCTCTCTCTCTCTATCTCTCTCCTGCTTCTGCTTCCGAGTTCCGAAAACGCTTCAGAGGAAGAACTGTTGAAAGCCTGAAAAGCTATTGGGACTAGACCTTGACCCAGTGAAGTTTTCTGGGTTGATATTGAGCCAGCCTGTGTTTGGTGGGGTGAAGAGGACAAGATCAGAGCTGCAATATGCCAATGATCTGATATTGCCTCTGTCCATGACGGATCAATACTGGAAGTCGATATTGCCGGTGGGAGCGGATCGAGACCACGAGTTTTGTAACCCCATGGTGGAAGGGTGCACCACTGACAAGATTAGATTGTTGGGGAAGTGCTTCGTGAGGAGGTTCGGTGGGGACGTTAGCACCGACAGACAGAAGGAGTTGGTGGAGATGTTACTGAAACATGGCGTCCATGTTGATGCTCATTTTGATGAGATTGATTTCCATGGGATTGATCTCATCGACATCAGAAGAGCTTCCATCACTTTCTCCATGCTGAGATAGTTCTTAAAGTGACTACTGAGTACTGAGTACGTGTTTTATAGATGATACAAAAAAAAATGGCAGGAATTATCTACCTCTTTTCTTTCTTCGAAGGACATGTGTACCAGTATTTATTTATTTATTTATTATTATTATTATTAATTGGATCCACATGGCAGCCCACGTGGGCTCTCAGTTGAAATATGTAGTATAACATGTGAAAAGTATTATATATATGTATGAGTGAAGTGAGGGTTAAAATTGTTATTTGAATAAATATAAGCACTTATGGGGAAAGTAGCTTACCAAACATTCCCACCCCAATAAGTACTTAAAAACATATTAAGTGATTTGGAAAATGGGTTACCAAACAGCCTAAAGTGTTGTTAAAATAAGTACTTCTAAGTTTAGCAAATAC